TCTTTCTCACCATCCCACCCTCTCTAATTTTATATATTTCTCTCTTCAGCATTCATCTGTTATACTTAGTTCTCGATTTCTCTCTCCCGCACTTTTAGATTTCTCTTTCCTATGCTTTCAAGACACTAGGCAATGGTTTTGATGTGCTTGGGTGGTTGGTTAATTAAAAAATTTAATTTTTAAGTATTTTGGATAAAATTAAAACTATAGAAATGATCATAGATGTTTGAAATAGTTTTTAATTGGATCAATTTGGGATCTAGACACCAATAAACTTAAGAATTTGAAATTTATAAACTTAGATTTTCAAAGGAATTTTTTTCGATTTTTAGTTAAAATAGGTGTTTTGGATAAGAAAATTTGAGTTTGATTCGTGAAAACATGTTAGAAACACTTTAATTGGTGTTAAATTGTTAAAAAAAAAAATGAAGAGAGTTTGAAATTTTGGTTCATAAGTAGCAATAACATTCTAAGCATTAAAATGTAACAAAATGTTTTTGAATATAACAAGTAACAATATTTTCTTAACATGACGTGTAACAATAATATTTTTTTTTCTTAATATGACTTGTAATAATTTTTTTTAACTATGGTGTGTGCATGGCTTGTAACAATAGTATTTTTTTTCAATATAGTGTGTAAGAATTTAACCATGACATGTAAAATGTTTTTGTCCATGGCGTGTAACAGTATTTTTTAGCAATATGACATGTAACAACCTAACCATGGCGTGTAACATGTTTTTGTATATGACGTGTAACATCATGGTATGTAATTTCATTAAGAGTGATTTTGTCTAATTTGGCTAAAAACAGTTAAAATTATCTTGAAGGCTATTTTTGAAAACATTTAATCTTTGAGGGTTATTTTTAAAAATGCTCCAAATAAAAACTTGGACTTTTGTTGTTTTATGATTTTTACAAGGTACCTAGAAGACTTAGACTTTGAAGTATTTAGAAGACCTTTCCCCTCTTTCTTTAATTTCCCCATGAAGGGACAGCAGAATTTTTTAAAAGCATATTTTTTGTAGCATGCCCGAAGAATGCATTTAGACTTTAGGGGACAAAAACTAGATATGCATCTCTAACAATATCTCCAATTCCGTGTGATGATTAATGTGACTTAGAAATTGTGGTTTTTATAATATCAGTTCTCATTGTTGTTACACTCAATGCAGAGTTTTGGAAACAAATTCCTCCTAATGAACCCTACCGTGTTGTTCTTGGTGATGTGAGGGATAAGCTGTATCAGACACGTGAAAGGTCTCGTCAAATGTTATCCCATGGTATATCTGACATTCCGGAGGAAGCAACTTTCACCAACATTGAGCAGGTATCTGTTTGTTTATCCTCTATTATAGTCTTATGTTTAGTTTGTACTCCACCTTCCTTTCATGAGTGAGGTAGAGATTTTACCATGACATGTCCCCCTCAACTACTTCTAGCCTTATGAAACAAGTAGCAACAGCTAGGAGATCCCATTTTATAGTTGTGCTCCGTCTGTGACTTTATGTGCTGGAGCAGCAATGTCTTGAACCTTAACTCTATTCCATTTCACTTCTTTGGCCCTCATTTCCATGTCATCAGTTACAAGGTGAACTGTTGCTGTTAAGTGTGATGAATAAGAAAGGGAAAATCCCCCCTCCCAAACAAAAATATTATTTGTTGTATATAGTTCTTAAGGACCATAAATACTAGGTCACTCTCAAGTAGAGTTTTCTTTGTCTATGGTTTTTTATAATAACCTCTTCTTCACTGCCTTTGCACTAATTAAGTCTTAAATTTTATGTAGTTTTTGGAACCTCTTGAACTCTGTTATAGATCACTTTGCTCTTGCGGTGACCGGCCAATTGCTGATGGAAGCCTTCTTGATTTCTTGAGACAAGTATCAACCTTTGGACTCTCACTTGTCAGACTTGACATTAGGCAAGAGTCTGACCGCCACACTGACGTCATAGATGCCATTACCAAGCACTTGGAACTGGGTTCCTATCGTGAGTGGTCTGAAGAACGTAAGCAGGAATGGCTATTATCTGAACTGAGTGGGAAGCGCCCATTATTTGGTCCTGATCTTCCTAAAACAGAAGAAATTGCTGATGTTTTGGACACATTCCATGTCATAGCAGAGCTCCCAGCAGACAACTTTGGAGCATACATCATTTCAATGGCAACTGCACCTTCTGATGTTCTAGCTGTTGAGCTCCTGCAGCGTGAGTGCCATGTAAAGGAACCATTAAGAGTTGTTCCACTCTTTGAGAAGCTTGCAGATCTGGAGGCTGCACCTGCTGCTTTGGCTCGGCTCTTCTCAATAGATTGGTACAGAAATCGGATCAATGGCAAGCAAGAAGTTATGATTGGGTATTCAGATTCAGGTAAAGATGCTGGGCGTCTCTCTGCGGCCTGGCAGTTATACAAAGCTCAGGAGGAGCTTATAAAGGTTGCTAAGCAATTTGGTGTGAAGCTAACAATGTTCCATGGCCGTGGTGGAACTGTTGGAAGAGGAGGTGGTCCCACCCATCTTGCTATATTGTCTCAACCACCAGAGACTATTCATGGGTCACTTCGTGTAACAGTTCAAGGTGAAGTTATTGAGCAATCATTTGGTGAGGAGCACTTGTGCTTTAGAACACTCCAGCGTTTTACAGCTGCCACACTTGAGCATGGTATGCATCCACCAGTTTCACCAAAACCAGAATGGCGTGCACTGATGGATGAAATGGCCGTTATTGCTACAGAGGAGTACCGTTCCATTGTCTTCCAAGAACCCAGATTTGTTGAATATTTCCGCCTTGTAAGTGAACTTGCATTATCCTGTTCTGAGCACCGTTTCAACTAATTAAAAGCAGTTCGATTGAATAATATTGTTTCTTTTGTGGCTGTAGGCTACGCCAGAGTTGGAGTATGGAAGGATGAACATTGGAAGTCGACCATCAAAGCGGAAGCCAAGTGGGGGTATTGAATCTCTACGTGCAATCCCCTGGATCTTTGCCTGGACACAGACAAGATTTCATCTTCCTGTTTGGCTTGGTTTTGGAGCAGCATTCAAACATGCCATTAAGAAGGACATCAAGAATCTCCATATGCTCCAGGAGATGTACAATAATTGGCCTTTCTTCAGGGTCACAATTGATTTAGTTGAAATGGTCTTTGCAAAAGGAGATCCCGGAATAGCAGCCTTGTATGACAAGCTCCTTGTTTCTCCTGAATTGTGGTCATTCGGGGAGCGGTTGAGGAGCAACTATGAAGGAACAAAGAGCCTTCTCCTCCAGGTACGCTCACTTTGACATGATGCTTCCTGTAATTAATTTCTTTCAACCGATAATATAGTTGATTTAGCTCATATCCAAATAAAGATTCTTTAATTTGTTCCCAAGTAATGTATTTGGTTTTTAAATTAAAATCAAAATCCTCTACCAAATATTGGTTAAAAACGGACCATTAAAATATTTTCTTGGAGCGCACTAAAAGAAAGTTGATACTTGAACGTCGTTTAAAATGATTACAAGTTATTGCTAACTCAATATTCTGCAGTGACACCTAAATACAGTCTGATTGGAAGCAACTCATTGGCAATTGATTATAATGAGGCAATACAGAGTCTTCTGACCCTATTGTTAAAAGACTGAAGCAACTTTTTCCTTTTGTCCTTTTCCCAGATTGCTGGCCACCGGGATCTTCTTGAAGGGGACCCATACTTGAAGCAAAGGCTCCGGCTGCGTGATTCATACATCACAACACTCAATGTTTGCCAGGCCTACACACTCAAACGGATCCGTGATACAAATTACAATGTGAAGTTGCGGCCACATATCTCGAAAGAGATTATGGAATCAAGCAAACCAGCTGATGAACTTGTGAAACTGAACCCTACTAGTGAGTACGCCCCTGGTTTGGAGGATACCCTCATCTTGACAATGAAGGGTATTGCTGCAGGCATGCAAAACACTGGTTAAATAAACTCAAAAACTTTGCTTCCTTTTTTTTTCTGCTGCATTTCTAATTATAGCCTGAGGCCCCAAGAATGAGAATTATTCATCGGAGACGGATGCTGTTTAAGCGAAAACCTTTCTTGTTGTTAAAGAGGGAAGTGGGTGCTATTTAAATTATCCGCATAGGGTCAAATGTTTGGTGACCCATGTAAACTGTGTGATTATGTTGCTGAGCTTAGACTCTTTTCGCATGGCAGTGTTTATTACTGCTAGACAATGAATGGAACTGATTAATTATGGTTTAATACAAGTAATGCCCTCGACGCTTCTGGGTTCTTGTTTATATATCTTGGCTCTTCTTCTCTATCCATTTATCTTCCTTGTAGGCTTTAATGGTAGCTATGATGAAGGCCTACATTTGACTAGTAGTTGTATTACAGTTATTATATTTGATGAGATACCTGCATGGCTGCATTGTTGAGAATTTGAGATGGAAATTGTGAGACCAATGGCTTGACTAAGCAACTCAAAAATGGTTCATTTTCTTTGTCTATTTTTATTTTTTGAATGTTTTAAAATTATGTTCTTTTTTTGAACATCTAAAACTCTTATATTTTTATATTTTAAAATTATGTTTCATAATTTTTTTTCTACTTTTTAGCATTAACAATTATGAAACATCAATTTTGTAAAAAAATTAACTTTAATATTAAATACCCTAAAGGGTTTTTTTTTTAATTTCCTAAAAGTTTAAAGAAAGAAAACCAATTGTAGACAAAGAAACCACCATTGTAAACAGTTAATTTGTTTTCAAAAATGTAAATAGTAAATTATTGTGAATTCATTAAATTAATTATTGATAAACACTAATTCATTTCTCATTGTTAAGTACATAAATTAAAGGTTTTTTTCTTAATTTTCTCTTATAATGAAAAATTTTTGGAGAAACTTTCCTTCTTTTAATGTAAACAAAACTTTTTTCATATATATATATTTGAATTTTTTAATCTAAATAAATATACAAAAATTACTTTAATAAATTAATTATAAAAAAAAGACTTTGTGAAGAAGAAAAGCATCATTTCCACGGCGGACGGACACCCCTTTTTCCTCGTACCCACTGCTCCTCTCTTTAAAAATACGATCTTTGTTGAAGAAAAGAAAACTCTCAATTCTCACTCACTCTCTCTCTGGAAAAAATAAACCCCAAAAAATGTCCCTCTCGACGCGGCAGAGGCGAGCAACGCCGTCGGATCTTCCTTCGTCGTCATCTTCATCACAACCGTCGAAACCAGAATCATACACGAAGGTGGACAAGCCAGGAAGATCATCATCGGACGGCCAGGAAGAGTCGGGAAACGACCGCGGATTTGGATGGTTCACGGCGTTGTTTGCGTTGGGAATGCTCCGGTACATGAGCGCCACATCGAATATAATACACGACTGCGATGAAGTGTTTAATTATTGGGAGCCTCTGCATTATCTTCTCTATAAATCCGGTTTCCAAACTTGGGAGTATAGGTAAACCCCTCTACAGATGAATTTACTCCTATATTTATAATTGCCTGTAGAGTAATTTTTTTGAAGAAACATAAAGAAAAAAATCCCTTTTATTTTAATATTTGTTCAATTTTTAGTTAAACGTGACTTGGGACTTTTTACTCATTTTTCAGAGGTCAAATGTAATTAGTAAAAAATAAGAAGTAAAACTAATAATTAATGGGGGTTTTAAGTTTTTGGATTGATTGTAGAGGTAGGTAAGCTTTGTTTAGTGAGTGAGAAAGTAATGGACAGTGAGGAAAAGGAAATGGAATTCTTTGGGGAAGTTTGTGCTGTTATTATTATTCGAATTTACTCTTTGAAGTAAGAAGTGAAGTTAGCTACTGCTGGGTGATGCATAAAATACATACTTATGGGTCAATGAAGATATGTGTGACAGTGTGTGCATCAGACTTTGGAAAATAGATTGTCATGGTGACCAGATGGTTTTTAATTTGCTTGTAATTATTGAATGAGACGGTTGTCCTTTTTGTATATGTCCATTGCAGTTCTCAGTTTGCACTCCGGTCATATTTGTACATTATTTTCCATGAGTTAGTGGGTCGACCAGCTTCCTGGCTGTTTGCGGATGAAAAAGTAAGTTTTAAGCATTCTAAGATATTAATTTATGATGGTTTTTTATGTTGAACGATCTTTTTATTTGCATTTTTACCGTTTACAGGTGAGAGTGTTCTATGCGGTGAGACTCTTTCTTGGTCTTCTATCTGTTATTTCAGATGCCACTCTAGTAGTAGCAGTTTCCAGAAAGTATGGAAAACGTCTTGCTTCTTATGCACTTGCAATGCTCTGCTTAGCTAGTGGTTGTTTCTTTGCCAGCACAAGTGAGAGGCTTTTTCCTTTTGTTTTTTGTTTTTTTTTTATTTTCCATAATACAGTTTTAAGTTTTATCCTTGTGCTTTTTAATGTTGTTTGTCATAGACTTTCTGCTTTTTCTAACTGAGTAATCATTAAATGCAGTTTTAAACTATCATTAGAATGCATAACAAATTCTTTTTTCCTCTTGGATTGGTTTAATTTTTATTGCTGTGATTTTCTTTTTGCAGGTTTTCTGCCTAGTTCATTCTCTATGTATGCCATGAGCCTCTCATCGGGATTATTTCTTCTTGAGAAACCTGCATGGTCTGTTGCAGTTGCGGCTGTGGGAGTGATCCTAGGTTGGCCATTTTCAATCTTGGCCTTTCTTCCAGTCACATTATACTCTTTAGCTAAACAATTCAAACAAGCATTTCTTTCTGGTGTTGTCACCTCAATGTTCTTCTTGTAAGTATAAATTACTAAATTTGGTTGCCATCAATAAAATTTTCTTGTTATATGACTTTTATATTATAATTTAGTGGTTGACATTAAAATATATGTAGTTAATTCATATATAGTTTCTCCATTTTGTTGTTCAATTGTCAATAATTTAAGTTTATTCTCCAGGCACTCTCCATACTTGTTGATTATTACTACTACGGACGATGGACATCATCTGTTTTAAATCTCTTACTCTATAATGTCATAGGAGGTGGTGAGAGCCATTTGTATGGGACTGAGGGGCCACTTTTTTATCTGAGGAATGGGTTTAACAACTTCAACTTCTGTTTCATCCTTGCTTTGCTTTTCCTGGGAATTCTGCCAATTGCAAGGAAAAAGTATGCCCCAGACCTGCTTATTGTGGTCTCTCCTCTTTATATATGGCTGGCATTTATGTCTCTGCAGCCACACAAAGAAGAAAGGTATGATTAGTCTTTATTATCTCAAACTTCATTACCAAATTTTGTGTAGATTTTATCTTTCTCGTTTCTTTTCTTTGGTGTAAAGTAGATAAATGAATAAAGAATATTCCAATATTTGACAGTTAGAAGTAGGGTGTGCATGGTCGGTTTCGGTCGTTTTCGTCAAACGACCAAAAATTTTTGAGATATAACGACCGAACCGCAATGATATACAGTCGGTTTTCGGGTCGGTTTTTTTTAGAGTGTCGTTTCGGTCGGTTTCGGTCGGTTTTGGTCGGTTTTTTATGATGAGATTAATGGCTAAAATGACTCGTGGGAGACTGGGAGGGGGGCAGGCCACAGGCCGGCAGGGGATCGGAGCTCGTGGGAGGGGGGCAGGGGGAATCGGGACTCGTGGGAAGGGGCCGGGGGGAATCGGTAGATGGGAGGGGGGGGGCGGGGAATCAACGTGGTCCGTCGAGGGGGGGGGGGGGGGGGCGGCGCGGCGCAGGGGAAATATTCAAATCAACACAACAATCAGGAGTGGGGGGGGGGGGGGGGGGGTGGGGCGTGGGGGAAATAGTAGGGGGCGGGCCATGGGTAGCCGGGGTAGCGGGGGGGCTCTTTTTTCGTTCGTTCGGGGGGAAAGGATTCCCCCGACAATCGAGCCGATCAGCGCGACGAGGCGATCGGCACAACCGACGGTTGCAAAAACAACCGTCGGTTGTAACCGTCGGTTACAGTAAACGACGGCTGCGGTCAGTTGGAGACGGTTCCACCGACCGTGCTCACTCCCTAGTTAGAAGTTTCAAGAAGAGTCCAGAGTTTGCTTTGGCCCATAAGCCTTAGGCTAATCTTGCACGATATGCTCTGCAAGGGAACAAAAGCAGCATATTTGTTACTGCCTTTTTGCATGTTCTGAACAACCTTTAATCTGCTCTTTGATAGCTAATTTTGTTCTGGAAAGAAATTTGTAGCAAGTTTGAGCGTTTGCTGGATTGTCATTTTTTCATGCAATCTTGTTTACTTCAATCTTGACTGCTTTCAGATGTAAAAGTCCATTATATTTAATTGTCAGTGCAGATTCCTTTACCCCATATACCCGCTTGTTTGTGTTGCGGCTTCAGCTGTCATTGAGAGCTTTCCTGATCTTTTTCGGGACAAATACAATCCCTACGATAATTCTATTATAGTTATGGTGGGTTTCTTCTACTTTTCTTTAATTTTCTATGCCAACCACACTAAGCTCTCATTCAAATATCCTCTTCAATTTTATGCAGATAGCCAAAATTCTCAGACCTGTGGCCCTCAGCCTCATATTATGTGCCTCACATGCACGTACATTCTCATTGATCAATGGTTATGCTGCTCCTATGGAGGTTTACAAAATCTTGGAGCACCATGCTGATGCAGGAACTGGTAATAAACAGTTACTTATATGATACACAGATATTGTAGCTTGTTTATTTTGTTGTTACATATCTGAAAATTTTTTAGAGCTACAAAGAAATGACTTTTAATTTTGACAGCAATGCAGTGTTGACTTCTATGCTATTGCAGATCTTTGTCAAGAATGCATAACAAATTTGTCCTTGCATTTAGTTTTCTTTCTTTCCTAATTGCCAATTGCCTGCTTTTAACAGTTGCCTTGAAGTTCTCGTAAAATTTTCCCTGGTGAATTCTTTTGCTAGATGTTCCTGATTCTCACAATTGTTTATGTCTTGGCTTGTATGCTGAAGAATGGTGTTATGAACAGGATCTAAAGCTCCATAGATGCTAGGCAAATGGGAATAATATAAAGCGAAATAATTTTAATGATTGCAGGTTCTGTACTTTGTGTTGGAAGTGAGTGGCACCGCTTCCCGTCATCATTTTTTGTTCCTAATTATGTTGGTGAAGTGAGATGGGTTGATGACGGATTTCGAGGTCTTCTTCCATTCCCTTTCAATGCTACTTTGGGCGGGACTTCAGCAGCACCACCATACTTCAACAATAAAAACAGGGCATCAGATGAGCAATATGTAATCACTCTGAACTACTTTATACAGAACAGCCTTAATCTTTATGCTTTCTATATTTTTCTGTTGTAATTGACCACAATATGAATTGCAGCTCCAGGATCTTCAAGCTTGTACATTCCTGGTCGAGCTACAGCTCAGCCGACCTTTCCCTTATCGTGGAAATGACTTGTCAACATGGGAGGTAAAAGCAGTATACTTTTATTTTATTTTTCCATTTTCTTCCTTTTTATGTTGTTCTTCTGATTTGATTTGCTGAAATTGCGCCTGTTCAGCCTATTGCAGCACTCCCTTACTTGGACAGGGAGCTCTCACCTGCCAAGTATCGGTCATTTTTTATCCCATACTTGTGGCAGCAGAAGAATGTCTTCGGCATGTACAAACTACTGAGAAGGGTATCACAACCAAAATGATAAATGACATGATAGTTATTTCTTCGGTTTTAGTGTTTTTTCTTTTGAGTTTCCTGACTATTAATTGCTTAGAACTGTATTTTCCCTTTTTCTGTTTGTTCCTAGCGTATGCTCCTCCAGGGAAAAAAACACAACAAAAGGAGAAGTTAAAACTCTTAACACACATTGACCACATTTTTGGACGTTTTTATAGTCGTGCACTCGTTTTTGCTTCATATAGGCTTTATTCCGTGTTTGTGCTGATTGAGTTCTCGTGTTACTTGGTTTGTTTAATTAATGTATATTACTCTTTCGTTCCCCTTTTTGTTTCCCCTGGTTGGGATGTGTGACTACTATGAAAAAACTAGAAATGTCAGCACGACTGAACCCAGTAAGCAGCTTTTGTCATGGTTGTTTTTTGCTTGGTCTAACCTTGCCAGTTCTAAAACTATATCCTAACCAGAATATAAAGATGACTTGACCTTGCTTTGTGAAAGGATCACCTCAGTAATACTACCGTGTAAAAGGAGGTTTGTATCAATTAATATCAAAATTTTGGTCTTGGGCTTATCTTCCTCTTCAGTTCACTAAAGATTCCCCATCTACTTTATTCATATAATCCAAAGCAGTGGGTGACTGTATAATAACCACAAATGGAGGAAGAAAGGTATTCACGAGTAATGTTTTTTTGCCTACGGATTGTGCCTCTCGTAAAATGTTGCACAACCAACAATGTAGTTTTTAAGTTGACAAGAGGTAAGGTAGCCTCTATCACTCGTCACACCAACTAAAACTATGCCAATCCAGGAAATAATATGAACTGGGGCTCAACAGAACTTTAAAAAGTTTAAAAAAATTGATGGTACATAACAAGCTATTGAATTTCACTGAATAGCACATAATTGTCAGAATAGAGCTGAATTTGTTGCAGAAAGAATAGATACAGCAACACAATGGTTATATCCTCGTGCCACTACAACATTTGTCATCCTACCCGTTGGTGAATTCACCTTGCAGAATTCTCCACCTTGAATATACACTGATGGAAGGCGAAAATGACTCAAATCTCTACAAGGGGTACAAATTTGATTTGAACTTTAGGAAGAAGCAAAAATTTTAATTGCTATAATGGACAGGCCACAGGAGTCAATCTTTGGATATCAACTCCTAGATGTTGAAGCTTTCTATCTATATTCTCATAGCCCCGGTCAATATGTGCTATGTTATTTATCTCAGTGGTTCCTTCTGCAGCCAATCCTGCTAATACAAGTGAAACCCCACCTCTCAAGTCGCTTGCAAAAACTCGAGAGCCATGCAATGAACTGGCAAAGGGCATCGCCATCCCAATCGTTAAACAGAGTGTTAAGTTAAATGAACATCTAAAACCATATACCAAAGAAAATATCTTACCTTCCTTTGTCTTTCCCGAAAACCAGTGCAGTTCTCCCGCAAACCTGAATTCTTGCTCCAAGCTTCTGCAGCTCCCTTACTATCCAAATGAGAGGACAAAATGAGACAAGGCCTATAGCTGATATCATGGAAGAAAGAAGTAAACAAGTAACGACTAGTAGATACCATAAATATGATAATGCTTAAGAGAAACACTATGCTTTGTAGAGCACCAATGAGAATAACGCGCCCAAGCAACAGAACATGTAATATTGTCCAGGCAAATGGATGTTATTACATCTGGAAATGCTTTGTTTGATGTTTCTGCTTTGCATGTAATGAAATTAAAGTGAAAATCGATATAGATGAAGCATTATAGACCAGTTCACACATACCATGGCTCATACGCTTGTCAAACACAGACTCCACCACTAAGCTTGAACCAGTGCATGTAGCGAGAAGTGCCATTGCTTGAGGTTGGAGATCTGTTGGAAACCCTGGAAACGGACTTGTCCTAATATCAAAACCTTTCAAATTGTCACCAATATATGTAGGGACTGCTGAAACCTGTCCTGACAGTTTTTCTTGTCACAAACAAACAAACAAAATGGGGAACAAGAAAACATGTTCAAAGGCTTTCATACCTCCAGTGTGTGCTGGTTAAACTGTGAAATTTTGCAGCCAGCTTCAGAGAGTTTGTCTATCAAACACGATATGTGGGAAGGAATGACAGGTGACATTGAGATGCATGAGTGAGTAATTGCTGCAGCAAGCATAAAGGTGCCTGCTTCAATGCGATCTGGGGTTATAACACATTCAGAACCATGGAGCTGGCTCTTTCCCCGAATAACTAGATTGTCACTCCCTGCCCCTTCAATGGATGCCCCACTGTCTATCAGAAAGCGAGCAAGATCAACCACCTCTGGTTCCTGTGGCGAAAATATGGGGCACGAACTCACTAAAATGAGTTAATTCATTCCACTAGACAACACAATTCTAGATTTCTTCCCATCATGTTCACAACCAGAAATTAAAAACTCTGTGAGATTCCTCAATTCATACTTTTGCCACATTTGAAAGCACGGTTATGCCATCAGCCAAGGATGCTGCCATCATAAGAGTTTCAGTTGCCCCAACACTAGGGTAATCAAGAAGGAATCTCCCTCCAACCAATCCTTTGCCATTTGCAGCATTTGCCTGCACTTTCCCATCCCTGTA